CAATGGCGACTGGGTAATAAAAAAGGGGAATATTTTCTAAAAATATGCATGTATTGGTTTTACATTTAGGGCTCTAAGTTTAGAGTGAATTTTCTAAAATCTAGGGCGATATTTCTGCTTTCAAAGGTAAATTACCTGTTAAAAACAAGGGCAAGTGCACTAAAATTTAACACAAGTTTGTACATGTTTTCTTCCTTCCTGCTTCTCGGCGAACATTTTATTCGGTACTTTTCCAGGATTTTTTTTTTCAAGATTATTTGACTAGGCCTTTTTTAACTATAATTTGAAAGGTGAGAAGGCAAGGTTAATATTCGGCCACTCATCGCGTGTTGGTAAACTGCTAATTAGAATCAAAAGAACTGAAAGTAGTCATTAAAAACAGAATCTGGGAAATAAACATAAAAATCGAACAACTTACTTTTTGAGAAAAATCTTCGTGGTCGCTGCGAGAATTGAACTCACGACCGCTGGGTCCGCAGTTGAGAGCACTACCGCTGCACCAAAGACACACACACAACTTGTTTAGGTCTAAGAAATATTCTCAATAAGGACCACCCAGTTAAGCAAAAACATTAAAAAAATGATCTTTTAATTTACTGTAAATATTTTTATACCCGTTACTCGAAGAGTAAAAGGGTATACTAGACTCGTAAAAAAATATGTAACAGGCAGTAGGAAGCGTTTCCGACCCCATAAAGTATATCTATTCTTGATCAGGACCTCTAGCAGAGTCGATCTAGCCATGTCCGTCTGTCCGTCCGGATGAACGCTGAGATCTTGGAAACTATAAAAGCTAGGCTATTGAGACTTAGCTTGCAGGTTCCTGAGCTTCTTGCTCACCTTATAAGTCGTATAAAGTATAAAAAAAACACCTCTTAACTAGATGGAGGGTCGTGACAATAGCACCTTCAACTTACAACAGTTACACATGACCTAGCGTTAGTAGTTCAGATCTAGTAAAAGTACCCCAAGAAGGATGATGGTACTTCCTGGTAGAGTTGGAGCCGTAGATCAATAAAAAGAAGTCAAACATTTTTTAAACAGATATGATTTTTTTTAAAGATTTTTAAGCAATATTTTTTTTGATAACTCCGTCTTTAATTGTATCTTGAGTTGCACTTAATATTTTTATACCCGTTACTCGCAGATTAAAAGGGTATACTAGAATTGCCGGAAAGTATGAAACAGGTGGGAGGAAGCGTCGTATCCGACCCTATAAATTATATATATTCTTGATCAATAAAATGTCGTCGGTGAAATGAAATTTTTTAAAATTGAAAACGGGAATCGTTTGTCAACCGTTAGTCACCTTTTGTTTACCTTTTAGTTTTTTTTTGTCGACGTCCAGATTCAAAAAAAAACTTTTCCAAACTTTTCGAAACTCAAAAAGTCGAATTTTACAAAATTTATTTTTGTCGACGGTTAGTCCACGATTGTATACCCTTTACAATTTAAAAACGTGAAAACTTTAGAATATATGTCAATTTTTAGTTTTATCACCTAATTTCAAAATATCAAAAAGTCTAGTTTTTCAAAAGTTTTTTTCATGGAATGAATTGTTGTCGGATATCCCACGTTTTTCAACATTTTAGAATTTTACAAAAGTGAAGGCTTGAGAAAATTTGTTAGTTTTTCACCTAATTTCAAAAAATTAAAGATCTAATATTTTAAAATTTTCATGGCCATATGCCACTTTTTAGTTTTTCACCTAATTTCAAAAAATAAAAAAGTCAAATTTTGCAATATTTTTTCATGGAATCGATTTATGTTTGTTAGCCTACGTTTGTCTACCCGTTAGAGTTTTAAAAACCTGAAATTTTTAGAAAATATGCAACTTATTTGTTTTTTGCCAAGTTTTTAAAACCAACAAGGAAGAACGCTATAGTCGAGTACCTCGACTATCAGATACCCGTTACTCAGCTAAATGGAGATATGCAAGCAGCAAAGCGAGATTAAAATGCGCCACCTACCGGCGGTATACAGATTTAAGCGTTATGGGCGTTAGAGTGGGCGTGGCAAATTTTTTTTTGGACCAATCGATAGGTATCGACGAGACCAATACATTTCAGTTAAAATTTTTTATCTAGCATGGAAATTGTGGGCGTCACAGGTTTTCGCGGTTTGTGGGCGTGGCAAACTTTTTTTTGGGTCAATCGATAGGTATTGATGAGAACAATACATTTCAGTTAAAATTTGTATTCTAGCATTAAAACTGTAGGAGCCACAGTTTAGGGCGGTTTGTGGGCGTTAGAGTGGGCGTGGCACTGTGCTGAGACAAACTTGAGCTGCGTAAGAAGCTCAGGAATCTGCACGCCAATCTCAATAGTCTAGCTCCCATAGTTTCCGAGATCTCAGCGTTCATCCGGACAGACGGACAGACGGACAGACGGACATGGCTAGATCGACTCGGCTAGTGATCCTGATCAAGAATATATATACTTTATGGGGTCGGAAACGCTTCCTTCTGCCTGTTACATACTTTCCGACGAATCTAGTATACCCTTTTACTCTACGAGTAACGGGTATAAAAAGTCTAATTATACCCGTTAACGCCCACAAACCGCAAAACGCTGTGACGCCCACAATTTTCATGCTAGATAAAAAATTTTAACTGAAATGTATTGGTCTCGTCAATACCTATCGATTGATCCAAAAAAAAATTTGCCACGCCCACTCTAACGCCCATAACGGTTAAATCTGTATACCGCCGGTAGGTGGCGCATTTTAATCTCGCTTTGCTGCTTGCATATCTCCATTTAGCTGAGTAACGGGTATCTGATAGTCGAGGTACTCGACTATAGCGTTCTCCCTTGTTTGTTTATGGAATCGTTTGTCCGCAGTTATTCCACGTTAGAGTTTTGAAAAACTTTCCAAGCGTAGGAGGTTATATGTTAAAAAAACCCGAAGCTATAATTTTTTTCATATTACTTTCCAACCAATTTTCCGATCGTTCCTATGTCATCTATATTATATAGTCGTCCGATTTGGATAAAATTAAATTCGAAATTCAGAGCTAATTAAAAAATGTTATTTCCAAGCGAAGAAGGTTATATGTTAAAAAACACCGAAGCTATAATTTGTTTCATATTACTTTCCCACCAATTTTCCGATCGTTCCGACCGATTTTGATACAATTTAATTTGAAATTCAAAACTAATTAAAAAACATTATTACATATTACGTTACATATTATTTTCCCACCAATTTTCCGATCGTTCCTATGGCAGCTATATTATATAGTCGTCCGATTTTGTTTAAATTTAATTCGAAATTCAAAACTATTCTGTTATTCCAAGCTTGGAGGTTACATGCTAAAAACATCAGAAATATAATTTTTAAAAAGATTTTTCGATTATTCCGATGGGAGCTTTAAGATATAGTTGTCCGATCCGGCTGGTTCCGTCTTATATACTTCGTGCAAAAGATATAAGACTTTTGGGAAAGTTTCAGCCCGATAACTTTAAAACTGAGAGACTAGTTTGCGTAGAAACGGACGGACAGACGGACATGGCTAGATCGTCTCGTCTAGTGATTCTGATCAATAATATATATACTTTATGGGGTCGGAAACGTATCCTTCAATGCGTTGCAAACTGACTGAAATCATAATACTCTCTGCAAGGGTATAACAAAGACCGTTATATTTCGTTTTCGGTAAACGTATACGGTAGTAAATTGAAATGGAACAATTTTTACTCTACAAGTAACGGGTATAAAAAGTAGGTGAGCTGGTTAGGAGTCTTAGACCTGAGCCTAGATGTGATGTAGATTGAAGTCGGGTCACAACGCAAACATGAAAAGAGCAAAAAAAAAGAGAGTTCTGTATATTTGTGAAAGTATCAAATTTCGAGACCTCGAAAACACAATCATTTATTTTACGTTGTCACTTTGACATTTCTCCTGCTATTTTACATGGCAATAATCATAATTCATTTTTCTCGGCTATCACTCGTTGCTCTTTTAAGAAGGGGCGTGTCAGGGCAGTGGATGTTGCTCGAAATGGACTGAACTTCACCAAAACTGCGGTCTGGGACAGTTTTATGAGTTGGTAGCTACGACCGCATCGCCGTCCTTAGCATACATGTTTTATATTATTTATGGGGCAACAACATAAGGTACGTACATATTCGTACAGACGAACTTAAGTACATATGTACATTCATCTGAAGGGCGTTTCTGGAGACGGAGCCCGAGTGAATAATCACCATAGATCAGCAGCCGCACCGACACGTGTAGCAACAAGAAGGGGATGTTAGAAAAATGTCAGTGTCACTTCCCAAATAATTTTTAAACAAAATCAAAACACAGATGCGTAAAGGAAACTAGATAAGGTATGGGATAAGATGTAAATGCTTCTTGAAATGCTTCTCGAAATGCTTCTTGTATGATGAATTCGTATGGAATTGAAATTGGCTTTTTGTTTTCAGTTGACTGAAAATTGTGAGAATGAGTCTGTTGAGCGTCGCTAATGCTGAAACGAAATGCGCCAATTATTTTGATTAATGTCAAAAAAATCGCGTGTCTTGCGCATTTGATGTTGGTCTTGGTCTTCGATCTCCGGAGTTCCGCCGAACAGGTACTGGCTCATTTCTGACACGAAAGCAGCGACTCCCCAGTGATTACGGATGGATGCTGATAATCTTTGATCTGTCATTTGCGAATGTGAAAACAGTAGCCGGCTATGAATCGAAACCATACCAAGACAAAGGTGCAGGCCGTCATCATCTTGGGATGACTATTAAATTAACGATGAGTAGGCGTTTATGGGAAAGCCATTGGGTTGGTACTGAACCGTCGATGGGCCTTAATTATTAAGCGCAGCTTCCTGCCAAACATATGATTACTGGTTTCGGGGGGAGACTTGCGCAATCGGACACGATTTCCTAACCATCAAGCCATTGCGCGTGCTCAGGGGTCGTAGAGTATACTCGCTTATGCTGCTGGCTTGCACTCTTCACATAATTTAAATGATAGTAGTCAATCCATTTTATTGCCCGCAGTTTTTTTGGTACTCGCCGCTGCTCGCGCTGCCTGGCTTCGATTAGCTCCAATGAGTTAGTGATGCGCGCCCGGAACCTTGTATTTCATATCAATTGCTTTTGCTGCACAATCTGTCACACGCCACTGACAAAGGGAGATCAATATGGTATAATCGATGCGCTAATATACTGCAGGTAAGCCGCCCCTAATTCGTATAGTATTTCCCATTCTAAAGGTTATCTGCAGGATTCACTACAATATAGCGAGGGAAGGTGACGCCGCTTCGTCCAGCATGAGCGCCACACACCCGTACAGCGCCCAGTACGGCTCGCCGCACAACGACTCCTCGAGCCCGCACTCGGACCCTAGTCGGAGTATTGTTCCTACGGGCATCTTTGTGCCCGCGACCCACGTCATTACCGGACTGCCACAGCCGGCTCGTCAAAAAGGCAGGCCGCGCAAGCGCAAGCCCAAGGACATTGAGGCGTTCACCGCAAACATAGGTAGGTTGTTAATATCACTCTTTTTGGAGATCAGGCTACCAACCATAAAAGTGGCATCATGCGGTCAGGCTTTTTATGACCACAGCACAGCACATCTAGAGGTACCACGAAATCTGGATACTGGCGCCATTAAATATGCGACAGCAGTCGATTTTATATGGCCTCATAAAATTCAAAAGGTGCTGTAAAATCAAAAATAACAAGGCTTTTTGGATTGATTTCAGATCTCAACACTGAGTACGTAGACTTTGGTCGGGGCTCGCACTTAAGCTCCTCGTCGCGGACCAAACGAATGCGGACCTCGTTCAAGCATCACCAGTTACGTACCATGAAGTCCTACTTCGCCATTAATCACAATCCCGACGCCAAGGATCTGAAGCAATTGTCGCAGAAAACCGGTTTACCAAAGAGAGTCCTACAGGTGAGTAATCCCAACTAATCTGGACCAAGCATACCAACTGATGCCAGTGCACTGGCAATTCATTTCTTTGTATAGGTCTGGTTTCAAAATGCTAGGGCCAAATGGCGCCGCATGATGATGAAGCAGGATGGCAGTGGGATGTTGGAAAAGGGAGAGGGCTCCTTAGACCTCGACAGCATCTCAGTGCACAGTCCTAGTTCGTTCATATTAGGCGGCCCTAACAGCACCCCGCCACTTAACATGGACTAACGGATACTCAGGAAATGAGGAAAGAAAATAATAGTGTCAAACGAACATGGCGCTGCATTAAACTTCCACATCAATCGTCCAGATTACACTACGTTTGCCCTAGTCAAGATCCCGAACCAAGACAGTTTCAAGATCCAGCATGAAGAACTCTTGAATGGTATTGACTCGTTGGATAGAAATCAAGTGGAAAAATAAGCACGGCACTCAAAAAACCGATGGAATACGTATCGTAGAGCATATTGTTTGACAAGCTGACGGGCCATTGAATGATATACTCTTGTAGTAGGCACTCGAATATTTTTAGTATATTAGTATTATTATTCAAAAAGCTCTTTACATTTTGTACGTATGTATGTATGTACATAAAGTGTGTATATGTACTTGTACGGTGGTGTCACAGAAAGCTTTTCGGGTGAAATTCGGGGGAAACGTACGTAAGCATCAATACAAGATTCCCGCAAATCTCGCCCGAAGAGATTTTCATATATGTACATACATATTTGCATGTATGTATCCAATATTTATTGCCCAAATTGAATAGTTAGAGATGAATTTAGTTTAGCGATAGTAGTGCATATGTACATGTAGTGTCACAATAAAGAAATAGCTTCGCTAACGCCGACTGGCAGATTCAATGAACTGTCATCATAGTCGATGCACTGGACACAAAGAATTTGTACTTACAAATAGTTTAATTATAAGACTTACCATAGAAGCCAAATAAAAGTTATTGAAACAATCAAGCCAGCTTAACTTTTTATTTTAATGGACTATTAATATTATTACTATACGATGTATCCATTTCTTTATTTAATTAGCTTTTATAGTATAGTTTCCAACTACTTGCTCGAAAAGAAAATATTTAACGGCCATTTATTATAAGCCAAAATGTCAAATATCATTAGCACCGATAAAACATTTTTTTAGGAAAAAACGTTAAACGGTTATATATTTGTTATACTAATATTTATGGTTGGTACAATTTTGTTAAAATTTAAGTTGGAAAATGTAGCCCAACGGTGAAGGCAGATGCGTTTTTAACTTTACGACTTCTTCAATTTTCAACAACAGAAAACTCTATAGTCGACGGCTTCGACTATCAGATACCCGATACTCAGCTAAAGCGAGATTTCACACCACTCGAAAGCGTCACCTAGCGTTAATTCCTATTTCAATAACACCCCATGTAGCTTTCATTACTATACAGGTGGCGTGTTAATAAAGTCTCGTAAGCAGCCCATTATCTGCATGAATATATCTCCGTCTCGCACTCTGTTGAATTATTATTATTTGGTTAAAACTTTATAATGAAAGGGTCGATTTGAATAATTCTTGGCATGTAGATAGGTATCGATAATAAGAACAATTTTCTTTACACTTTTGCAAAATATTTAAAAATGTGGGAGCTAGACTTTAGCGTTATGGGCGTTAAAGTGGGCGTGGCACCCTGCTGAAACTGTCGCTTATTTCTATCAGCTGTTTACGAGATTTCACTATCACGCCACATAACGTGAAACCTAGCTGTTGCTAGGGAACTTTTGTAAGCAGTCGCTTTTCTGTAGAAATATATATCACTGTGAACGGCAGTCCACGTAGTGACGAAGCGCACCAGGACGGTGTGCAAAGGAGATTACTACATATAGCCGCAGATATGAAAATTTTGAAAATTCGATCTGTTGGGGCTGGTGGGGATAAGCACCCCCGCTATTAACTTACTTGTATTCTTACTTAAAATTCTTACTTAAAATCGGGTGTTTCGTCCAACGGAACAACAAGATTTTGGGGGTCTTCTCAAAATGAAAATTTTATTTTGTTTTCGTTAGCTTGGCAGAAAAACAGCTATAAATAGCTATCACTGTGGATGGCAGTCCACGTAGTGACGAAAGCGACTACTATATATACACGAGTAAATGAAAATCTACTGTGATTCTCCGGTTTTTACGAGTGATATATCAATCGAAAAGTATTGCAAAAACTAAATGGCATTACATACCAAAATTAAGAAAATTTGATCTGTTGGGGCCGGTGGGGATAAATACCCCTGGCTTTTAACCTAGTTGTTTTCTTACTCGCACACATGACCGATGCGAGTGCCAAGTCACTTCGCGTTGGGCAGCGAGACCACTGACCACGCAAAGCCTGTTTAACATAGTTAGTCATAACTTTTAAAATCATTATGCGATTGGGTAGTTTATAGGTAGATATTTACAAATAAAACCTATTTCATTATTCACTAAATAAAAATCTTTAAGACTGTTGACACCAAACAGATTTAAGCGTATAAGATGCGGAATTTAGTGGTACTTTGCATATTTTTATACCCGTTACTCGAAGAGTAAATATTAACTTCTACTCTTTGAAATATCATTCTTTTAATATTTTAACGGACGACTTCATCATATAGCTGCTATAACGATAGGATAATTAATGTCAAAATAAGACATAGACATCTATACTTCGATTTCGGTAGACATACACGGTAGTAACTTTAAATGGAACATTATCTTACTATTTTTGTAATTAGTTTTTTGTTATACTAGATTCGTCGGAAAGTATGTAACAGGCAGAAGGAAGCGTTTGCGACGCCAAAAGTATATATATTCTTGATCAGGATCACTAGCCGATTCGATCTAGCCATGTCCGTCTGTCCGTATGAACGCTGAGATCTACAATACTGGGATTAGGCATTCAGATTTCTGAGGTTCCTGCGCAGCTCAAGTTTGTTTCAGAAATGTGCCACGCCCACTTAAACGCCCACAAACCGCCCACAAACTTCAAATAATCGTGAATATAAACGTGGATATCTCGGAAAATATCAATGATAGAGAAATGGGATCTCAGATTTAGATTTCGTAGCCTTGTACGCAGCGCAAGTTTGTTACGCAAATATACCACGCCCAATCTAACTCCCACAAGCCGCCCAAGCCTGTGGCGCCCACAATTTTCATGCTATATACAAAATTTTAACTGAAATGTATTGGTCCCGTCAATACCTATCGATTGATCCAAAAAAAAGTTTGCCACGCATACTCTAACGCGCGTATACGCCTATACTTTGGCACTCTGAAGAAAGAGGACGTGTCTCGTGCGTGCTCCGCGAAAAGTGCAAGAAAGTTGATAAACTAAATGCAAAAAAAAACAAAAACTAAACTGGTTGATTTCAAAAAAGCGAAAAGACGCTAAAACCCTAAGCAATTTATGTTTCAACTCACAAAATCGGTGTAATGACTTAAACTAGCACATAATTATTTTATCTCATATTTTATAAAAGCTCAATGAGCTAAGAACAAAATAAAGAGCGACTAAGCTCCGCGAGTCGAAGAGACGGTTACTTTTCGTATGTCTCAACGCGTGATAGCGAAGTGCAAAAAACGACTCTACTGTCGGTCGATAGCCAAAGAGCACGATCTTGCTCACCATGCTTACTTACGGCTACCCGCTCTCCGACGGCGTGGAGTCAACAATGCAAAACCCCCCACCATCAGTTTCGACCCCTGGCGCACCAACAACATGCAACGGTAAATCTTTTGCATTCGCAATAAATTTGTCAGCAACAACTACAACTACGGCAAAAAAACAACAACAACCACAGCTACGGCTATTACTTCGGCTGCAACCGCAGCTCTAAATACAACGGCAACAAAAACCACGACAACAAACCAAAACAAAATTCAGCAAGCGGGTCCGGCCATACAGACCGGACTAGATCGGTACATCCTTATCAAGCATAAGCTTAGCCCGCAGAATACCGCGGTGGGTAACAAGTCAAAAATAAACCGTGTCCAAATAGAAAACAAATTACCCGGGAGATCCAACAGCAATAGATTTGCGCTTCTAGATGAAAATGAACCAGAACAGGCTCAGGAGACCCAACCGAAACCCAAGCCCCCAACAATTTACATTAGGGAGAAAATCTGGAACGCTCTGGTCAACAAAATTATTGCGCTGACCGGGGACGGAAACTTTCATGTTGTTCCGGTCACAAAAGGGGATATCCATGAAACCAAGCTTCAGACCAAATCTGCAGAACATTTCCGAGCTGTATCCAAATACCTGGAATAAGCTAGGAAAAGCTTGTACACGTACCAACTAAAAAGCAGCAAGGGCTTGCAGGGCTTGGTAGTAAAAGGAATCGAGCCCGACGTTATTTTTTATTGGACGTTGATGCACTATGGTCAGTACAAACAAGTGGCCCTACGACACCAAGCAAAGCTTGTTACGCGCGGAGCCCATCACCGTTTTGGGCGAGTAAACATAATCGCGGACAAAGAAAAAGACAATGTAACAATAGACAATTAAAAATACAGGTCAATATACGAATAGACAAAATACATCAAGTAAAACTAATTAGTTACTAGGGAGGATAGTATTATTGATTTAAAGATAGGAAGTGAGTCAGTAGTAGATATTAGATGATATAGTCTATTATAATCATTGCAAAGTACTCTAAAAGGTTCATGCATTGCGTAATTAGAGATACAGTGATTTAATACTAAAGGAATATAGTTTCTAGTGAATCTATTTGGCACATTAAAATGCAGGCGACCCAGTAACTCGGGACTCTCTACATCACCATGAATAAGATTTCTAATAAACGTAATACCAAGCATAGTTCTACGGTTAGCTAACGATGGTAAGTTAATTAGAAGTAGTCTACTAGAGTAGGATGGTAGTATTAGGCTTGTATCCCAGTTAAGTCTCCGTAAGGCAAATATTAAGAAGTTTTTTTGCACAGACTCAATCCGGTCTATATGCACCCCATATTGGGGACTCCAAACAGGAGCGCAGTACTCAAGAATTGGTCGGACTAATGAAATAAACAAGGTCTTTGTGACATAGGGATCATCGAATTCCTTCGACCACCTTTTGATAAATGCAAGCACGCCCCTGGCTTTATTTACCATAGTAGTAATGTGATCGGAAAATTTAAGTCTAGGATCCATGTAGACTCCAAGGTCGTCGGCATGCGTTATCCTATCTAACGCACAACCACTCAAAGTATACGTTGAGTAGTGGGGGCTGACACGAAAAAAGGTCATTAGTTTACACTTAGAACCATTTAAATTCAATTCATTATCCATGCACCATGTTTGAAATGCATTTAGATCCGATTGTAAAGCTAAACTTTGTGCGGGGTCATTATATTGCAGGCACAACTTAACGTCATCTGCGTACATAAGAACCCGTGACTTCGTTAAGACTAATGGAAGGTCATTTATAAATAATGTAAACAGGAGCGGACCGAGATGACTTCCTTGTGGTACACCGGAAGTAACTCGGATTAGGGATGACAAAGAGTTTTTAAAAATGACCCTTTGAGTCCTATCATTCAAATAACTTAAAATCCACCTAAGAAGATCACCTGAAAACCCTAAAAGGTCCAATTTCCGGACTAAAATCGGGTGACTTACAGAATCAAACGCCTTACTAAAATCAGTGTAGACCACATCAGTCTGACGATTCTTTCTAAAACCTCCTATAACAAATGAAGTAAACTCCAAAAGGTTGGTTGTCGTTGACCTACGTTTTATAAATCCGTGTTGACAAGAGGAAATAAGGGACCTACAACTGTGTTGTAAATGAGGCGTAATAATGTTCTCAAAGAGCTTCGGTATAGCTGATAGCTTTGAAATACCTCTGTAATTACATGCGTTCAATTTACTCCCTTTTTTATGAAGCGGGATAACAAACGATTCCTTCCATCTGTGTGGGAAATCGGATGTTTCTAAAGACAAAGTAAACA